CAATACCCTCGGGAAACCACTCCACTTCTGATTTGATTTCTATCGTAAATTTGGTGGGGGAACCACCAACCAAATTTCATTGAAATGCTATCACACGTGATTCAGTCCGCTCGAAACATCCCTCAACTGCATCAAAAGCTCGGAGAAATCAAGTCTGTGGCGTTGACCTGCGGATGGCTGAAAATACACTTTTTTCGGCCCTAGTAACTTTATGCCGGCCATTAGTCTCTCCGGACATGACCAAATACACTTTTTGCACACCAACTTGGCTACAACAGTATAGTCGACTCAACCGAAAATGTTGAAGAGGTCTTGGGCTGTCGAGGGTTTCCCGCAAACTTATGAGTAGTATTACTTGAGAAAGACGCACTACAGTGATATTATTTCATAGCACTGAGTAGACATCGGTTCCAGCTGTTGAGAAGGAAATCGCTGCAGAAATTGTCTCGCTCAACAGCATGAACGTACTTGTATTTCGTTTGGCTGTATAATTCAACTACCACAAAACTCTTGGCGTCAAGGTTGAGTCCCCATGTGTATGTGCGATCGTGTACTCAATAACCTCGTTGAAGGAACACATTACATAATCTTTCGGTTGGTACAATATTCAGGTATAACATGAACACAAGCTCGCCACTAAAAGACATGATCAATTCTCCCTCATCTCCGCACACAAAGATCAGGAAGGGCACGAGTTCGATTGGAGCGGCGTTTGCATAGTGGCTCAAGCAAGAACAAAAATAGAACGCGAATTTATGGAAGCGTGGTATTCCACCGAATAAGCCATCAAAAAACACATCGAAATTGATCCCATTTACCAGCCACTAAGGGCTAGAGAACGCCAGAACCACAGAGCTCAGAGCTGCAAAAGCGACCAGACGAGGAACTCATAGGAGAAGCAGGGAAGCATCATTTAAACGGACACATCAATTGGATTGAAGGAGGCTCCCAACCAAATCACCAAATCAACCGGCGGACGCAGGGTCACTAACCGCCACGGTGGAGGAAATTGGGCGATACAAGCAACCAATCAGACTCAAGAACGTCAGACCGGAACGCAATGCGAAGCAAGGCCAAAGAGAACAAGCTACTAAAATTGGAAGACGTCGGGATAACCAATCAATACAAAGGAACACAGACCACAGCGCAACGAAAATCACAAACGGGGCAATAGATTCACTAAATTCCTTACACTTCAAGTAGCCAATCACGTAAGAAGATAACGGGTAGCCTTCGAATGCTATATAAACGCAGGCAGGCAAGGAAGAAGTACCCATCCAACTGCACACTGATGATGTCTCTTCGTATGGGGACGAAACGTTTACAAGCCAATTGCCAAGCTCGGCGAACAGATCAACAGCCACCTGCGTATGACCTAGTCGGTAGGCTGCGTTGTATTAATGGGATAGCTCAAGCTGGCATGAATCATTGCAGTGCGCCAAAGCTTTTATAGAAACTTTCTGGAGCGGTAGCATTCACCATCAACCCTACATTCTAGTACAACGTGGCCAACTCAAACAAAAATAAGGCCACCTCTGAGACCCTTCGTCATCTCTAGTTGATGGTAGTGTCTATGAACCCGGAAATTCCCTATCCGCAATGTTACTGAGCGTCCGAATCCACTATGTCTGATGTACGTTTGTTGTGGACTGTAAGCACAGTTCAGAACACAGAGGTTGTGAACATATGACCAAGATGGCTTTTATTATGATAAATTCAATTATGAAATTAGCTGTAAGGTTGTCGAAACCGTCACAATGAGAATTTTTGCGTCACAGAAATCTCCTCAAGTGTGTGAATTTGGAACACCGGAACGCAACGGAGTTGCGAGTTGCAACGGAAAATATCGTGGACTTGCTTCCCACTGCCCAACTAGCGGTTTTATTCACCGAGTTCTCTAGGCTCGGTTGTGTATTAAGCTCGCGAGGGCAGTATTAATGGGCAAGTCCCAAAATGGAACTGCAGAGATATTATTTCACGGCACTGAGTGGGCGTCGGCACCAGTTGTTGAGAAGTAAATCACTGTCTCGTTCAGTGGTATGAATATACTGGTAATCCGTTTGGCTGTATACTTCGATTACCACAAACTTCTCGTCGTCAAGTTTGATTCCCCATGGGTATGTGTGTTTGTGTACTCAATAACGTCGTTGAAGGAACACATTACATAATCTTTCAGTTGGTACAATATTCAGAATATGTCAAAGTAAGTTGTCTTGACAGGAGACGCTGTTCTGGAAGCTACTGAAAAATCCTCTACAATTCAAGAGTGATTTCGCCCTTCTTGGGGCTCATCAGGCAGGTATAGAGTAGAATAGACAAGCGATTCGTCTGGGATTCAGCCAGGTCTCTATTTAAGACTAAATTCGTCTGCCATTGGGTTTGTTCTTCAGGGAATCTCTCAGTTATAGACATTTTATCGTACTACCTAAAAGGTCACTCAACCTCGATTTGTCGTTATCGATGTTGGAGCGCCTCTCCTGAAATTGTGGGAATTGGGAATAACCAAAAGTCAAAGTTTGTCAGGTCGAAGATAGGGTGTCTTCTTAAGTCTTACTGACTGCCCACCCATTTCCAATGACCGCGTCGTGATGCTAAGCTGGTAAAACTGACTACCTTGGTTTCGATTTTGAGGTGGGTTTCAGGTGCGGATAGGCACGAATCAAAGGTGATAATCCAGGTCTATCGGGTGTGCGTTGATTGAGTGGTGGTCACATTGTTACGACGCTTTCCAGATGTCCGTAGTTCACATTCCTGCATAGCCACGGTTATGCACTGCCCATCTGACCAGTGCAAACCAAGTCCAATACTTCGCCATCTTGAGGTCGATTCGCCATAACCCCTGCTCCTGAACAAAATCCAAAAGAGGGCGATGAATACTGAACGAGTTGAACCCTATACCCGCTATACTCGCGTTCTCTCGTCCACTGCTGCGTACAATCTAAGCACACGCGTGCGCATGCATGGGCCCACCCACGTACGCATCGACCTATCCACACGTGTACACATGCAGATACATGCGAACCCATGTTTAGTCACTTCTCGATTATTGGTCATTTTCAGAATGAATATTTCCTCGATTGATGTCTGTCGCCAGTTGTACAAGAACTCTGTCACTGTGTGCATTCTAGCCCGTTTAGGCACACCCGTCCAACAAGAAGCTGACAACAGGAGCCGGTTACAGTTGGAAGTATGAACGTGGTGCTGATGTTGTCCACTGTTTACGAGACTTTGAGAGCGCTCATTTCGTTGTTACATTCTGTGTTTTCCCGAAATGAGAGGCTCAGTTGCATGTAGCATGAAGGAAAATGCACGCTCAGTGATGGAGTCGATTCGACCGCATCTCGCTATGCATCATGTGTATGATCCTAAAATTCACTATTGATTAACCGCACGTCGCGCCAACAGTTGTTAAATGCTGTGACTTCCACAAAAGGACTGGTAAAATTCATTGCACACTCCAATCTAAACGATAAATGATGCAGGTTCTGGGCAATAATAATGATAACTAACCACGTGCATTCACATGCCTCTGATAACTAATAAGAAGATTTCGCCACACCACTTTAGCTAGCTGCCGCTAAACGGTGAAACGGAAGGGTGGTGCTTTGGTGGCTCATCACGTGCCAGCACCGTCCGCCGGCGTCGTATCAGGATTTCGTGATGGAACTGGAGTGGAGGTGATTACGATTAATTCAGGGGCCAATTTGACCTTCAGAGTCTTGGGGGGTGCAAATAAAACGAAAGGTATATTATTGCTGTTCGCGAACAAAAGAAATAGTTGATGACAATTTTGGGGGACTGCTAATGTTCTCGTCCGTTATGACGAGCAGTCAGAGAATAGGCGCGCATTTTTTGTTGGCAAGATATCTGGCGAAATATATTTTGATACACCTGTGTGGATTATCTTAACACGTAATCACGTAGTCACCAGGTTGCTAGTAAGATACGTCCTGTTTCACTCTATGTACTTATTCGACATGCTCGCATATGTCATATCAGGTGCTTTGAAATTCATGTTCCCCAGGAGGACATCAGCACTGTGTGCTTCAGGTGCCGGGATTAGTTTTGAGTATTTGCGCAAGCAGGCTTTACCACGGTTTTCAAGTAACCAAGTGGATCACGTGGCCTAGTTCTCAATTACCCACCGGAGAGGAATAAGTGCTTTCATACTTCTGTTGAAAGAAGACATGAACGATAAGCCTATTTATTGCGTTGATTACGTAACACCTTGAGTGGAATATGAACTGCAAATTCAGCAACCAAGCTATTTCGTGCGTATTAGGAGACTTCGAATAAAAACGCTAACTCCTTGCAGTGGAATTTTTATAATCATCGGGCCGATATGTTTGCCTGCGGTGTTTTTCAGTGTCAAGAGACTAGTGCTTTACCTATCGGTCAGTGGTGTAACCGATGCGAGCGGGAGAACTCGCGCTGTCAGATAAACGGGACCTAAAGTGGCTGGCTGCATTCTGCTGTTAGGTTAGTTGGGCTGAGAAAACAGACAGCTTGCGGCAGTAACCTCGACTGCACGGAATCACTAAGCCGTTAGATGCTGACGAACACACACCCTAGCAACGGAGTAGCTCAGTCCCAGTCAAGCCTATAAGAGCCTGCTTCGTTTCACTTACAGTTTACAACTCCATAAATGTTTTTGCTAAATGTCAGAGCAAAGCAATTCGGTGAAATTTGAAAACCACCGCCTTACATTCCGGTTGTTCTTATGCTCGTCTCATTACGCATCATTGTATCAGAATTCGCAATCAAAATCCGATAACTAACATGCGTCCGGCTTTCGCGCCAGGTTTTTGAACGACTGACAACCAAACTCAAGAGCAAGCTGTCGACTTGAACTCATAATTCGGATGTTACGTTTCAGTCAATTACCCGGGTCCGATTAGAATTGAATTTGCTCGGTTTACCAAACAAAGGTTTTGAGAAGACCGTTTTTTCCGCGTTCAAATAAAGGTTGTCTTTGGATACACCCCTCAAATCTCACTTACGTCTTTCACGACGATCTGTCTCGGCCAGTTCTGCGATTCGATTTTCATCTGTAATTTGCAGAAACAGCAACAATATATGATACATTAGGATAACACCCAGTTGTCCTCATGATACACACCATAAAGCTAAACTTTAACATCTTCCCAATGACGGAATAAAATTTTACAGTGTTGAATATCAGCGGCTCTTTTGCGTCTTGAAATAACGTGAAAAGTGTTACTGTATTGATTAGCTGACTAGAAACGATCTTCAGTTTGCATTAGGGTGGCACACCATCAATATAGCGAATCGCATTAATATAAGGCACGCTGATTGCCTCCAAATGGAGACCTTGAGTGCTCTGAAAAGGTGTTAAAAATGGCGCAGCTGTAGCGCCCTTGCCTTGCCCTACGAGGGCCGAGATAATTCCATGTTGTCCAAACCCCCACAGGAGCAGTCGAAATGCGGAGAGCGGGTTCGATCCAAGGTACTTTCAGTCAGTAAGTTAATGCTCTAACCAATCCGTCTCGATGGTTCTGCCTCTAACTAGTCTCCGTGAAAGCGTAGAAAATCTACCCAAATGTATGGAATCCTTTGTACAGATCCTTAACAGAGAACGATTCTCCTTAAAGATCAGTGAGTGTCAACAATATTTGGTACGACATTTGTCCGTCGAATGACACCCAAACAGGCATGCAGGATAATATAGTGTTTGGCACTAATCACTGACTCCGAATAACGAGTTCGGCAGTGCATCATATAAAATCATGAGAATCGTCAACTGGGATTTAAAAGTAGTTCTCCCACCAGTAAAAAGGAGCAGACAAATCTTCCGTTGCGGGAAACGAAGACGTGAACCGATTTTAACCGGCGATTTCCATTCACAAATCATTCCCACGTTATCTGAACGATTAAACCCATTTCTTCGTGTGCTGGGTTATGTCTGGCAGTTGCAAAGTACAGTGCAACTTGGAAAAAAAATATATTTTAAAAGTAAATGCAATTAACGAGCGTGGAAACAGTCTGCAGTTGACAGTTGCCTAAGAGAATGCGCGAGATAAGCTCGATCATGAAATCTCCGCTTTAAAATCTTAGGCCCGATAGTCCTGCCAATGCTCCAAATTTTCCGAGTTAAGTAGGCAACAATGAATGGAATAGCATCAAGTTGATTGACTTTGTTGATGCTTTGTGCTCTTTAACCTTTTCGTCCGACAGGATTGTATTTTCTTGACGTTCTCTATTACATGCTCTTTCCTCAAATGTTTAGATGAATACTGGTGCCATCCTAGAAGATGAACCCCTCACCCTTACGCAGTGGGCTATTCTACCGACAAATTTGCCAAAGTCTATTTCGAGCATCCAATCAGAACTGTGAAATTTTGAGGAGTGTTTCTTGCTGTGTGGATAGTTTGGGTGGAAAACAAAACATATTTCCCATACTTTTTGTCCTGTCATACCAAAGATATCAAGTTGTCTTTTGGGGGATGAAAACCGTCCTCCGCATGGGATTGTAATATCATGTCGGGGCAATATCCTCACACCCTTACCGTCGTAAAGTGTGGGGAAGTTTGGTGAGAACACTTAGAATAATCCAAACTGAATAATTATTGCCTCTCGTTTACTCCTGGTGTAACGTAAGGATACCACTGATGAATCATGCGAGTAATCTATGGTTAGTGGCCAAGCTCCGCTCCGCATCTGAGGGAAGGTGCAGTTTCTTGAGGAAATTAAAGGAACTGCTTTGCAGCGTTCGTTCACAGTTGCGAGATAGTCAGCGAATATCCATGAATGTTCAAGCAGACGCGTGAGAAAGTTCAGTTTTCAAAGACCATGTGCATATGCGACGTTTACTTTCCTGTCCAAAAGCTCGTAACTGCTTAGTTCATGTTTGCTAATAGATGACTTCGCAGCCAAGACCTTCATTACTTTCGCTAGTCCAATCAAGTAAAATGGTTGTCTCGTGCATTTTGTCTTTTCAGCACAGAGTGGTTTCAGTTAAAGCTTCAGTGTTACTAAAGAGGTGGTTGTGTACAACGGGGGATAACCGACCACACATTTGCAAGGCTTGTATACATCTAAATGATTGCATTTGAGAAGACGGGTCATTCCATGGAGGGCTGCAACTTATATGTCGATCGAAATTATCCCTAATTCCCGCACACTTCTACCATTTTTACGAGCTGTTGGATCAGCCCAGCCTACGGTTATGTGCCTGGACAGAGTAAAATAATCCGACGAAGTTGTGAATGAAGACTAATTATTTCAACAACATGAAAACATCCACAAATTTCATCGAGTTCCCTTTTTGAGACGATACTGCAGTGGCTCGCAATTTACAAGCGACAAATGCGACTCAGAATTGGCTGGAAACACAGCAAGAAACTTGATTCTGACAAAGACGATGATTACGTTTCATTCGCGATAGACAAACTGCCAAATTCTGTTCTAGAGGAAGGTAGCACGTGGCAGAATGACTGTGATTAGCCCTGGTGGTCGATATACAAATAAATATCTATTATATGCGTTTATATGTATGCATTAAACAAGGCAAGTTTGTTTTAAACATTTGCGATACTATTCTCGTAAAGAAAACCACTCATAAGGTTGCTGAAAACTGTTCGACAGCCCACTTCCGGTTTCGCCCTTCTTGAGGCTCATCAGGTAGGCGCAGTCCCCGAGTTTCCGTCAACCTTATGTTCTACTTGAGATTCAGTTAAGTCATTCGTGAAAAACCAAAGTGATTTGCAAATGAGTGTATTTGCGATACTAGTTCAACTTGCAACTCAATTTTTTCTGTATATGTCGTCTGAAGTTAAAAAAAACACAAACAAGCACGTGATGTTTTTCGTCGTAATGGGACAGCTTGCTATAAAAACACGGGCAGTTTAGTTGGAAACAAGATTGCGCATTACTTGAAGGTCGAAAATCCATCACTGTATTTTGCACAAATTAATTTTTCTAAGGTAGTCTGGAAGCAGTAGAGATGCACGCTATCATCAAATAAAGTTAGATCTCAACAGCGACAAATCGATTACTGCATGTCACATAGTTGACCAAGTCCAAACGTTATGTGGGGCGTTTGATGCCTTTAACTATCGAATGCGATCTCAGTCAGTGTTGTTTCGAAAAGCGTCTTCTTGACACTTTCTCTTGTCTCGAATACGCATAAATCGCGGAAGAAATCGGTAAGGCTGATGAGGCCTTATCCAGGCGGTTACATGACACTTCATGATGGAAGTTTCGCTTGGAGCTCATAGTTAATACAAATAGTTTGGCAATACACGCTGGTCCCGTACGGGTCGAAAAAACGATGAAAAAGGGCTCATTGAAGCTCATTGAAGACATGCAAATGACCCAACGGTCACGTCCCGAACTAATCGATCACGAATTAGGCTGCACACGTCCAATCAAAGTTGCTTCGGCTACAACTAGATAAACTGTGATGTATCACGTGCTCATATCGTATATGAAGCGTTTGGATCAACATTTTTGCCCGTTTGGATCGTAGTTCGCACCACAATGTATCTGGCTATCGACTTTTATTGCCGATTGTTTTGTTACGGTTCGCGTTGCACGTTAAATACTCTAAGTATCAAACGCTCACGGGCTCATAGACTCGGCCACGTGTGTACTTGTCAATGCGCATTGATAAATGAGATCTAAGAAAGAATGAGTGCTCGCACCGCGTTTAGGAAAATCGGACCAATTGGTTTACGTGCATACACACCCTGGAAGCCGAATGTGCCCGTCGTAGTGTTGAATGGAGGTCGTCTCAACTTGTCCTGTAATAACGACCTTTTCTGAAGAACACTAAAGAGGTAAATCGATCTTCGAGAAATACACTCATTTGCAAATCAATTTGGTTTTCACGAGGGACTCCGCTGAATCCCTCGTTTATGATATTCTACAACTGAAAGTGCTGAACACAGGCCGCCTCATGATTCAGTTGGCACGATATTCGAGATATCGCAGTATATTTTCACAAAGGAGACTACTCACAAGGTTGCTGAAAACTATTCGACAGCCCACAACCGGTTTCGCCCTTCTTGGTGCTCATATAGGTGCTCATGTAGGCTCATAAGTTTGGCGGACACTCGGGGACTGCACCTACATGATGAGCACCAAGAAGGGCAAAACCGGTCGCGAGTTGTCGAAGAGTTTTCAGCAACCTTATGAGTAGTTTCCTTTATGAAGGTGAATCGACTGTTTTATTACGAAGAAGTTACATTATACGCATTGGACAGTCTCGTTTATGAAGGCTAACAAACCTTTCTGGCCATCTGCGGACTTGGGAAAGCTTTACGTACTACTCTCACATTAGACAGTCTTCAGTGCACTTGCAGATTACCTTAATGAACACGGACCTCACAAGGTCATAAACGATCCACGCAAATCCCGGGAATTTCAGACTTTACCCGCTGCTTTGCGGCAGTGCGTTCCTGTTGAGTGAAATGTTCAAAAAATGCTGCCTTTTTGCCTTATTGGTTAATCGAAACTTGAGTCCATTGAATTCAAGTTACAGAAATGTGCTAAGTTGCCGCCGCATGGGTTGTAAACATCACTATGTCATCTATACAAAGTTTATACATAGCGACTGAGATTTCCCGTCGAGTCATACCACGAAAAACACCCGCTAAAATTACACCTAGAGTGCAGCCCACAACGAAGCCAACTATCAGTATAAAAGCGGGAACTTTAAAATTAAAACAACCTCTTTTGGTCCTTGAGGAATTCAATAAATTTGGATAATACAATAATCATTGTCGAATTAAATTTATAGAAAAAATTTACACGATTTTATAAAAACAGATAAGAAGAGGTTGAACGGTTACAGAACACCCAGTTTTAAACATTTACAAAGGTAAATAACGTCGTGATTTGGAGTTCGTAGGTAAATTGAACTCAATACAATTTACCATCATCAAAACGCAATCAGCTAAACGTGTGAAACAAAACACTTCATATAAACGACGCTACCTCAAGTGAACGATTTACCTATAGGCTAATTCTGTCATCTCTATTCTCCTTGCCGTACTGTCTAAATTAGACAAACTCTATCAGGTTTTAC